TAATTATAAATTTGTTGTTGCCTTGTAAGATGGAATGTATCTTCATTACTATTATCATTAAAGACTCATTTGTTATGCAGTGACGTTCTGAAATAATGAATTTTAAACCATTTAAAGAAGGCAAAATGCTGTTACTGAATGAACACATGACTGTATAAGCAGAATATCTGGTGACTGATTCCCTTTTTTCAAGGTTTGATGTGCAGAATCCCTCCTAAGCATGCTAGAGAAGGGTCATCATAGATGGCACTGAAGCTCGGCTAGGCGGTCACAGGGCTCACATACTGGACTAGTGGGAGGTCACAGGAGGAAATTCCAGATGGGGATTTAGAGTCTGGAGAGATTCAATTCAGTTCAGAAAATTATGCACCTTTATTATATCAAAGTAGTAAGGATTTCAAAGGACACACTGATGGATTCTGCAAGATATTTTGATAAATGGAAGCCAAAAAGCAAGGAGAAAATCTTACTATTTACCAGTTATTGGGTTTTATACTTCTCTGAATTAAAAAAGTTTTTTTTTCTTTTAAATATGGTATGATTTTGAAAGTAAGATATAAAAGGATCTTCTTTTACATTTCTGGGCAAATGGCTTATACAATTAGATTCTTCAACAATGCAAATTGGCTACTTCCAAAATAGGGAACATTTACTGAGTACAGATATTGTTCTAACTGTTTTACTTTCATCATTGAATTCTCACAGAAATCCCAGAGGATAAAGACTGTAAGTAACATCATTTTGTATCAAGAAACCGAGGCTCATAGACTGTGCTTAACTTGCCCAAGATCTTATAAGTGGGAAGTGGACCCAGTGAGAAAGGGTTTTCTAAACAAAACAAAAACAAAAATAATCCCCAGAATCTAAAAACAATTGGTTCGCTGCTCCCTTTAGTTGTTTTTCTATTTTTAAATAATTGATCCAAAGATTGGCCATGGGACTGATTTCCTAAATCCTTCCTTTTGTGATTTGTCTAGGTCACCATAAGCTGTTCATTTTATGAAAGGAATTTAGGACTTAGGGAATTTTGTTACCAAAAAAAGTAAGATTTATTTGTTTATTGGTGATAATAACCACAAAATAAAAACCTGGGAACAGCATTTATTTGTATGTTAGAATCCTGATCAATAACTAGCTGTGTGACTTTGAGAAGTCAGTTAAACTCTCTGTTCATTAGTCGTATCGTCTGGGAACTAAAGAGATTAGATTAACGGTCTACATATTCCTTTCAGCTCTAAAATGTCTTTGACTTCACTTGGTGCCTTGGCTCAGTTGAAGTGGTTTAGTCCCCTGGGTGCCTTCAGTGCAGATCCTGGAACCGGCTGGAGGAGTCTTGCTCAATCTTGTTCCAGCCACAGCCCTTCAGTATCCTCAGGCCTGGCCACCCATCTGGGTGATGAGGCCGTGCCACCGAGGGAGGCCGTTATTCAGAACCTAAGGAGTGGAAACTCCATGTTCAACTCTTTGTTCTGAGATGGAATATTTACCCAAGGAAGGTAAGTAATGCCCGACCACGAGGTTTCTCAGGTGCAATGAGTGGGTAAGAGGCTTCAAATCGCTGTGTGATCTGCGGTGAGTCACTTTTTGTCCCTTAGGCTCAGGTGCCGACTGTATAAAGGAAAGTTCTGGACAGAAATTTCCTCCTTGGTGTCCTCTTTCTGGGGTTCCATGCAGGACCACGTGGGGAGGAGACCTTCCTGCTTGGAATGCACGGCACTGGGTCTTTCAGACTCACTTATGACTTTGTCCATTTATGTTAGTGAATAACTTTTGACCTGGTTAGTGTCTCCACCAACATTTCTCTACCTAGGCTTTTATATGTAATCTGTGGCTCACCTTGTAATTCATGACCCTAGGTTGAGGGTTTTTCCCTGGGGAAGCTCTGGAGGGAAGAGGAGGTAACTTGTTACCAACTATCTTTCTCCTTGGCAAGGGAGATGAGAAAGTAGAAATGCAACGAAGTCTGAGCTAATGATAGCTACTATTTATGGAGAGCTTCCTATTAGTTAGACAAGGCCGTAAAGTGCTTTATATATTTCATCTCAGAGCTAATTGTTGCAACAACCGCATCAAATATGAATTGTTTCCTTATTTTAAAGAATCCCATTCACCAGGATGTGAAACGTGGTTGGCAGAGTTGAAAAGGCAGCCAGCTGCTCCACTCCCCCCTGGGGCCACGTTAGACCAGTCCCGAGGAAAGGGCAAGTTATTCCACTAGGTACTTGCTTTGTTTTCCTCAGTCCTTCAGAGATCCAGGAACTTAGAACTCTGCCCTCCACTAAAAGACAGGTCACTTACCTGTGGAAGTCATCCGCTCTGGACTCTCACAGTGATCCCAGGGAACCATAGGACATATTGTATTAAACCCCTCTAATGCATTCACTGAAATACACATCACGTGGTCCATTATGGCAACCTAGTCTGCATGAGGACTCGGAAATGACGTGTGTGTTTGTAGGAGTTTTGGCCTTTCAAGAGAGAAGTGGAGTGGGCTGGTAAAGTACAGGAGAGGATTCCAAAAGCCAGGTGGAGGAAATTGGGTCTGAGTGCCAGGCAACAGGGAGACAGTGAGCATTGCTGAGCGATGTGAGCCAAGGGAGACTCAGGGAGACTTTCTAACTTCAGTATAAAGAGCAGATTGGGGGTGAACACCGTGGACACCTGGGGACAGATGGAGCATGTGATGGTCTGCAGTCATCCTCAACGGGCTCCTGTCCTGCTGGGAGATGGCTGCAGGAAGACAGACACAGGGACTGGTGAGATCATTGGATGTGACCTTGGGGCTTCTGGTGGGAGGGCCTGAGAGAACAAGGTGCTGCTATGAGACCCAGTGCAGGAGGGGTTCTGTCTGGTCACCTCTGCTGGGAGGAGCAACAGATTCCACGGCTTAGTCTACCAGCTGCAGCTGGGACCCCTGTCCCAGTGCTGGCCATGGGCTGGAGGAAGGAAGGCAGATCCCTGAATCCCACACTGTGTTGAAGAACCCACAGAGCTTCCTGGTCTCTGATGACCAGAGAAGGTGGAATGAAACACTACCAATGACTTGGAGGTTTTACAATGCCTGTACTAGTCCCAGGGAGGGACTCATAAGTGGATTTGGGAAAGCTTTGCATTGGCCATGGGTCTTGGTGCCATTTTCTAAGGCACTGGAGTGGCTCACCCCTGTGTCCTCTCTCTGAGGTGTGGTGGTTCCTTCCTTTTCTTCTAGATAGCCTGGGTCTGGCCTGGGCTCACCAGGTGTGTTCTTTGGGCAAGATGCTAAACCTGTGTGAGGTCAATTAGCTACCTCAAAGGGATAAGGAAGAATGAAATGAGGAGGTGGTGGGGAAGTGCTTACAGTAGAGCGCACAGTAGACCCTGGGCCCTAGTGATCGCCTGTGGGTGTTGGGATGACAATGAAAATGGTGACCATCAGGCACACAGGTGTCCTAGTTTCCTTCAGGCCACCAGACTGCATTGCAGCCTTCTGGGGCTATTCTGATGCTTTGCTATTTCCATTCCTCTGGTACAGTAGGTGAGCGCCATCTTGCCTCCTATCTCCCATGAAGTTGTTCTTCCTGGGTCCCCTTCTATTTTTTAAAATTTATTTTTATTTAAAAAATTTATTTTTGTAGTTGTAGATGGACAGCGTGCCTTTATTTTATTTGTTCATTTTTATGCAGTACTAAGGATTGAACCCAGTGCCTCACAGTTGCTAGTCAAGTGCTCTCCTTGGGTCCCCTGTTTTTATCTGAGCAACCCTTGTGTCTTCTCTAGCTCTAGCCAGAAACCATACTGAGGGTTCTCTCAGCAGATTTTCACCTCGTATTAATCTTCATATTTCACTATGACAGAAATATATATATGTGTATATATTAGTGTATATATATAGTGTATATATATATATACACTAAGATGGAAGCATATGGAAGAAGGAAAATTCAGGACAATAAGAGATAATTCAAAGTAATTTTAAAAGCAGAGAAAATCTTGAGAATTTCTTTCCCTCAGCTCATAAATGTGCTCTTTAATCACATGGAGTTGCAAGTTTCCTGAGGGTGGAGCCATCTTCCATTGTCTTCTCCTAAGTCCTGAGTTGCCTAGGTACGTGTTGTCTCAGAGTTGCTTATCACAATCTTTTTAAAAAAAATATTTTTATTAGTTATGGATGAACACAATACCTTTATTTTATTTGGTTATTTTTTAAATGTGGTGCTGAGAATTGAACCCAGTGCCTCACTTAGGCTGGGCAAGCGCTCTACCACTGAGCCCCAACCCCAGCCCTTAACACTGTCTTTGGTTCAGAGAATTATATAAAAGAAATCCTGAGAGACTGAAATAGAGAGAGGGGGTGGGAGGAGGAAGGAAAAAAGAGGGATGCATTCCATAAAAATAGAAGAAAGATCAGTGGAGTAGGTGAAGGAGATTGAGGGGGAGGGAGAAGAAATGGGATACGGGAAGAAAAGCGGAATGAATCTGACCTAACTTTCCTATGTACACATATCAATATATAACAGTGAATCTCACCATCATATAAATCCATAAGACACTAATTAAGAAAATAAACTATAAGTAAATAGCAGAAAGATCATTAGAATAGAGGGAAGGGAACTGGGGGAGAGAAGAGAGGGACTGGATTAAAACAAATTTTATTCCATGCTTCTATAATCATGTCAAAATGAATCCTAACATTATGTATAAATAAAAATAACCAATAAAAAATAAAGAAAAAATCCTAACCTGCTGCTGATAAGAGTTTGCCAGTGATGGGCAAATTTGGAACAAAAATAACGAAGTAGTGAATGACCAAATGTTATGTCTGAACTGTGGTTTGAGAGTGAGTTATATTCTGATCTACTTCCAGCCATCCACTTAGCTCTCAGGTGACAAAATTTAAAATATGTTTAAAAATTCATGAATGTGGGGTGGGCCAAAACCACAGAGTCTGATAGAATTCAGAGGTTTATGTCCTTATGACTGTATATCCTTTGTTACAGGAGTCTGAGATCCATCTTTTCTAAATGGAAATCAGAGCAAGTACAAATAACGTGACTGAGTTAATTATCACTGGACTTTTCCGGGATCCAGAGGTGCAGAGAGTGTGCTTTGTGTTGTTTCTCCCCGTGTACCTGGCCACCGTAGTGGGCAATGGCCTCATTGTTGTGACGGTCAGTGTCAGTAAGAGTCTGCGCTCCCCCATGTACTTCTTCCTTGGCTACCTCTCCCTGGTGGAGATCTGTTACTCCTCTACTGTGGTCCCTAAATTTATCATGGACTTACTTGCCAAGGTTAAAACCATCTCCCTGAAGGGCTGTCTGGCCCAGATCTTCTTCTTCCACTTCTTTGTGGTCACTGAGATCCTTTTGCTTATGGTGATGGCTTATGACCGCTACGTGGCCATCTGCAAGCCTCTTCATTACATGAACATTATGAGTCGTCAACTGTGTCACATGCTGGTGGCTGGTTCCTGGCTGGGGGGCTTCATTCACTCCATAATTCAGGTTCTCAACACCATTAATCTGCCCTTCTGTGGTCCCAATGTGATTGACCACTATTTCTGTGACCTCCGTCCCTTATTCAAGCTAGCCTGCAAGGACACCTTTGTAGAGGGGATCATTGTGTTGGCCAACAGTGGATTAATCTCCATCTTTTCCGTAACCATCTTGGTGTCGTCCTATGCCATCATCCTGTTCAACTTGAGGAAACGCTCTGCAGAGGGGAGGCGCAAAGCCCTGTCCACCTGCGCCTCTCATATCACGGTTGTTGTCTTGTTTTTTGGACCTGCCATCTTCATCTACATGCGGCCCGCCTCCACCTTCACTGGGGACAAACTAGTGGCTGTGGTCTACACGGTCATCACCCCCATGCTGAACCCCATCATCTACACACTCAGAAACGCAGAGGTGAAAAATGCCATGAGGAAGCTGTGGGGCCAAAAGGAGAACCCAGGGATGGGAACACGATAGAAAGATGTACGTCTGATTATTGTGTGTTTGAAATGGATTTTCAGTGGGATATTTTAGTATGGCAGCAACAAATAAAGGATTTTGTGTTACTTCTTCTGTGGTTCTCCTTGGTAACCACGACACCCTGGTGTAATATTTGAGGGATAGAGGTGAGGAATTCTCCCTGAATCTTATTGGCTGCATGATATCCAATAGTATGAAGGTTTGGGGAATTGGAAGGCTCAAACCAAGTGCAAATGCAAAATGGTGGATTTTGACACGTTTTATAAGTTAAAACCACTTCTTTGATTTCTTTCTGCTTCCCTCTGTAGTAATCTTACATATTTATGTGGCACCGTGTGATATTTCAATACATGTATGAAATGTGTAATGATCACATCAGGAAAATTTAGCATATCTATCACCTGATGATTTATCATGTCTTTGTACTGGGAATATTAAATATCCTCTCCACTAGCTAGTATAGAGTATTCCTTAATTATTTTCACCCATGGTGATCCCCCTGTGCTATCCTAATGTTCTATCTACTTGCATCCCTGTACAGAGGAACATTTTGCAAATGTTTTGTAGGTTGAAAGCACTTCACCTTCCTTCCCCGTAATATCGTCCCTTCCTTTTTCCTCCCTCCCTTCCTTCTTTCCTTTTCCCTTCTTTGTTCAACATTGCTCATGATATTGGCTTGTATTTTAATAAGAAAGGAAACCAAGCAGAGGAATTATCAGGGAATCTGAAGACGAGAACAGCAATCTGTTTTTCTCTTACAATGTGAAAAAGAATTTCTTTGAAGTTTCTATTCTTCTAGCAGGCTCTTGGCATCTAGTACCATAGACTGTGTGATCATAGTCATCAGAAAAGTCCCTGAAGCATTTTTACTTCTTTTGACATGTTGGCACAAAAGATAGCATTGGGCCCTTTCACAATGTCCAGTATTGTGAGGTGGCCCCTGTTGACTTGGGAATTACACACAGTTGTGGGGAGTTTGCACCCACTCCATCCACTTTTCCTTGAGGATCAGTTGAAATCATACAGGCAATTGCCAAGCAGAGTGTTGGAGCATCCTGGGTGTGTTATAGGTCTTGAAGATTTCCCCTTTCTCCTGAAGGTACTAATTCAGTATGCAGGTGAGTAGACGTAAGTGCTCCAGTAAATTTTCCGCATTTCCCTGGAGTAGTCCCCATTGATCATGTCTATGGATGCCCACCATTAACCCCAGTGAAAATGCTACTGCTTCTGCCTGGAATCCATTGCCTTCCTTTTCTAAATGCAAAATTCCTGCACGATTTTAAAACCTAGGTTAAAATTTCCCCACTTATAAGGCCTTGTCTGACCTCCATCTTTCTTGGATAGAATTGCGGTTGTCTCCAAGGCCATTTTACATTTATATGTCATCATTACCCCATCACTTTGACTGTGATTATTTTCCATGGTTTCTCTCTCATGAGACTGTAAGCTGTCAAGGGTAGCACTCTGTGCTGTTCCTCTTCTTGGCAGCTCTATGAATCTTGCACATAGTTAGTTGATGCTTCAAAAGTACTTGCTGAATAAGCAAACTTTGAGGCTCATGTCCAATCCTTGCTAAGTCAACTCTCAAAAATTCTTCATGAACACCATCATGGTGGGGCAGCATTTCTCTCTTGTTAAATTGTAAGAGCTCAGGCTCCAAAATTTTATTAGGTGGTTCCAATTGCCTGTCAGTCACAACCCAAGATCCTAGTCACTTAACTTTTATGATCGACTATATTGTTGCTCAGTAGCAATAAAAAATCTCCAGAAGCTTATTCTGAATATTATATGACATACATGTTATGGTTTAGATATGAGGTATCCTCCAAAAGCTCATGTATGAGATAATGCAAGAAGTTTTGGAGGTAAAATTATTATATTATGAGAGTTGCAACCTAATGAATGAATTAATCCAGGGATGTGGATTAGCTGGGTGGTAATGTAGGCAGGTAGGGTATGGCTGGAGGAGGTAGGTCATCGAGGACACGACTTTCAGGTTTATATTTTGTTCCTGGTGAATGAAGCTCTCTTTCTGCTTCTTGTTGCCATGTCCTGAGCTGCTTTCCTCTGCCATGCTCTTCTGCCATGATGTGCTGTCTCACCTTGGCCCAGAACTCTGGAGTCAGCTGACTATGAACTGAGACCTCTGAAACCATGAGACAAAATAAATTTTTCCTTCTCTAATTGTTCTTTTCAGTTATTTAGGTCACAGCAATAAAAAAGCTGATTAAAATAATACATGTAATGCTTTTAGAAAAGGACAAGGTACAATGGAAAAGAAAAAGGGGAATGAACGGAAGGGAGCCCGGATGGGATAGGGAAAGACAGTGGAATGAATCAGACCTCACATTCCTATGTACCTTTGTGAATATACCACAGTGAGTCTCACCATCATGTACATCCATAAGACACTGATTAAAAACAAACAAACTATAAGTAAATAGCAGAAAGATCAGTAGAATAGAAGGAAGGGAACAGGGAGAGGGAAGAGGGGAGGGAAAGGGAAAGTCCTGGGAAGTGAATTAGAACAAATTATATTCCATGCTTGTATAATTATGTCAAAATGAATTCTATTGTCATGTGTAACTAAAAAGAACAGTAAAAAACCACGGTACAGAGATAAATATTAGCTATCAGTATGATCAACATTAGTGCGGGTCCTTAATTTTGTGCGCTTATTGCATCTCTGTCCACCCACTGGTCTTTCTGTTCTGTAGTGCTATTCAGAATAGACCTTGGTTCCACCTTGAAAGATTTCAAGCACTTCTTGGCAGTTCATTCCTTTGTTTTGGGTAAACATTTGTTTCCTTGTTAGAGTCTGTAAATAAATCAGGATGGCACCAGGCATTTTGCCAGAGAAATTTTAGGGTCTGTAAACAAGTCAAGATGGCGCCTGGCAAAATGCCAGAGGGAGTGGTTTGTAAAGTAACGCCAGCGAGCCATTAAGTGTGGAGATTCCTTATTGGTTGACTGCTGTATCTAGTTTATGTTAATTAAGATAAGCTGTGTGGAATGTATATATACCCCTCCTGTCCTACAATAAACGGCTCCTACTCCTGCTGTATCAAGGTACACAAGTTGTTCGTCACCCCCTGGTTATTTTGCTGCAGCCAGACTGTGGCATTTCCTTTCTGTTACTTAACTGACTTTGAGTGCTTTACATAGTATGTGGTACAAAACAGGAATTTAATGTTTTAAAAAGTAGATGTTTACTGTAATGTAACCTCTATTCTATGTCTTATGCTTTTAAATTCTGATAATGCATATTTCAAAACATTTGGTCCAAAACTAAGCAGATTAAAAGTAGTCTCTGTTCTCTTCTTTGGTTCCCTGCCTGCATTAAAGCAGGCTGTGATAATAGTCCCTCCCTTACTCATGTGCAGATTTGGTTTCCCCGGTGAAAGACAGATAGAACCTTCTTTTGAGAAGTGTCTACTCAAGGCCCATTTTTGATTGGGTTGCTTGTTTTTTCTTGTTAAATTTTTGAGTTCTTCCTATATTCTGGGTATTAATCCTGTCAGGTGAATATCTAGCAAAGATTTTTTTTCCCATTGTGTTGGGTTTCTCTATACTTTGTTCATTGTTTTCTTTGCTGTGCAGAAGCTTTTTAATTCGATGGTATCCATTGGTCAATTCTTGCTTTGTTTCCTGAGCTATTGGAATCATACCCAGGAAATCATTTTTTGTGCCAATATAATATCTTTTAAAAAAATTTTTAATTTTAAAATTTGTTTTAATTAGTTATATATGACAGTAGAATGTATTTATACACTTTGATATATAATACACAGGCGGGATATAATTTCTCATTTTTCTGAGTGTACATGTTGTGGAATCATATTGGTCATGCAGTCATATATATACATAAAGTAATGATGTCTGTTTCATTCTACTGTCCTTCCTATCCCCACATCCCCTCCTGTCCACACCTCCCCTCATTTCCCTATACCTAATCTAAGGTAATCTAAGGTAACTCTGTCTCCCTGTTGAGATACTCGAGTGGGGTTGCGGGGTGGATTTTCACAACCTATTCTTTTTTTTTTTT